CCAAGTGATTATTAATCGACGAAAATTGTGTTTATAGTAATACCAAACTGCCCTATGTGTGGTCACTCCAACGCAGAATTAATACTTTATAGCCTTTGTCACAGTGCCGACATCCCCACGACGCGCCTTTCTACTGCGGCGGCGGCATCTGGAAATCCGTTGACATAAAGACAATAATTATCGAAAAATGTTTGGTTAGGTTAGGACACGAATCAATTTTTAATCGCAAGTCCTATTCTATAATAACCGAATTGATTATTATTATTATATTATCTTGGGTAGTTATAAACAATATTTATGTGATTTAAAATCGAACAAACATTTAAAAATTCACTAGACTCGTGATCATAAAATAATTCATAAATATATAACGATATTGGACGATGCGTTAATACATTTTTCTCCGTGGTTTATTAAAATGGGTACAGTATAATAATTATTATAAACTTGTTTTTTAGTTATTTTCACATTTATTGTAAAATATATTCTTTATATTCATTTAAGCAAATAAATTCCCACCTGAAACAAATAAATAATCATAATCATATTATCTATTGTCGTAATATTCCTTGAATTTTGAAATTTTGGACTCATTTCGAGTTTTTAAATCTGATTCGATAGTATAAAACATCCAACAAAATCAACTATCAAATACATTTGGTCAATTTATTATCCTCATACTATTAGAGATTTACCGATGTTTTGAAAATTTTAGAAATGCAAAGAATTATGAACATAACGAGAATCTGCAAATGACTGTGATTGACCTTATTGTTGGCTCAAGAAATTACTAACAAAAAAATTGTTATAGGTACCTCCTACTAACTAGATGAGTACGACATAAAAATAGGGGATGATTTTTTTCATAAAACAAATTAATTATATCTTCTTTTTTTTTGTTGTTAAAAGTTATATTATATAATATATATCAGTGGTCAAGTTTAAAAAGTTATTATTTTAAATTATTAAACTAGTATTATATTTATACATGTTAACAAATGTAACTATTAGTTGTACAGCTCAAGTAATTAAAAGTGTATAAATCCAATAGTTTCATCATTAAAATGAGTTCATTGCAGTTAAAAAATAACGCCTACCAACATAAAATTTAAATAGGATGAAATGTATACCGTTAGTGGAATTTCATTGTAAATAAAATTTCATAATACATGTCTATAGCACAACCTAAATATTTTGTTCCTCAGTAACATTTAGTTTACATTTAAAATTGTTTAATTTTAATATATTTTATAGATTAATGACTTAGGTTTGCACCAGTTTTTATAGATTCTTCAAAGTTTATTATGATAAGTATTAGGTGAAAAAATTTATTGTATCGTCATAAATACTGTACAATGTTAAACACTGAGTCAATATGAATTATTAGTAGCTTATGTCCAAACAAAAAATATATTGGACGGTAAAAGATATGTTTTTATTTTTACATTTTGAATACATTTTCTTTTGACGTATTCTTTAATTAACAATAATAACTATGATGTAGTGTACCGCTGTGTAATACTGATATTCCTTATAATAATATTTTATTTTTAAGTTGATTTATTACTAGGTTTTTAGTTTTAAATTTCTTCCTGTATACTATTAAAGTTAAAGTATTTTTTTATCTTTTAACATTTAAACAAATTCTATTTTACATGATGTCATATAAATTGTGATTAATAATTTTGTCTATATTAAAAACGTGTTACTCTAAAAATTAGTCTGGTGCTGTAAAAGTTATGTTCATTTTGAAACGTATTTAACATTTACATAGAAAAAATATAAATACTTATTTGAGTGAGTTATATTTCCTTTAAGTTGTTATGTATACTATTAGAATTTATAATACAATATTATAGCTGGTGTACCTCCCACAAAAAATTATTATAAAAGCTTTAAGTTATTAAGCTATTTTCGTATAGATAGAGTAAGTACTTACTTGAAACTAAAACGTTTTCAAACTTATAATATAATATTTTTACCTACCATGAACTAGATGGAACGACTGATGAAAAAATTGAATTGGTTTTTGACTATCTTAATATTTTAGCAATCGAGTCTATCAAAACTATCGCGTTTTAAGTGATGCAAAAAAAACATATTATAATCGATCATCGAGTGATAGGGAAAAAACATCGGTACAATATGACAACCATATAACATCACACCGAATTACGAAATCCCCCGTGCCGCTTAACGAATGTTGACCATTCGTTTTTCGATTATCTTTTAGGCAGTCTATTCTCGCCTGCTGCCTTTCCCGGACCGTTTTCAATCGTATTAAATAACGAGCTCAGTTTTCCGATAGGTATACCCGATAATAACTCCGCGCCCGTTCCCCTCATTGTCTCCTCTCACCCCCCCAATCGTTCTCTCCTTATATTGGATTAAGACCATTTCATTGTCGCACATACGCCCCGTCGATTTTTGTAACGACAAAGATAAGGAAAAAACGTATTAATTTCGCAGACGTGAAAAATAAAAGAGTATGAAATGGTAAATTGAAGGCGGTCCAAGAAATGGAAAAGTAAATAAAACGACTGCATTAGTAACCTCTAGACCATTTCACGCTAGCTATTTACAACCTGATAATAAAAAGTGATAAGGAACGTTTCCACTACAATGGTATTCCAGCAAACTAGTGAAATCAAAGTGTATGACCTGCGACTAGCAGCTGGCTGGTTATTGCGTTTCTGGGTATTTTCGATTTTCCGAGATCAACTAAACGTTCGAGAAACCTACAAGTTCGATTATTAAAGTCGTTATTTATTATTTTAGATACCAAAAGAAAGCACACATAACATAGTTTTAAATGTATACGTTATTAATCGTTGTTAGACAGAAAAATAAAAGATTAAGACATTCATAGTTTGCACAATGAATTCGTATATTAGAAATCGCACATTAAATAATTGAGACAACAGGTCTTAAAAAAAAGCTGTTTAAACTCATTAAGGTTTAAAACCAGAAAATTTCTGACAGAGTCACTTCCAATGCCGTACATTAGGTAATGAAACACACTACACTATGTGTCTACTTGGAAAAACCATTGTCATTCTTAATAGTCGTCAGTTTTTTTTATATAATATACTTGCAATTATAATGATAGTTAACATGTGTATCAATATCTATAGGTATGGTGACTAGATATTTAAAAAAAAAAAAAAAAGTACAAAGCCAATAGGTTTTACAATATAACATTTATATTATTATATTATATTATATTATATAGTATATAGATATAAAATACAACACAAATTAAACTACCTTTATTCATTTTGAAACATAACTGACATAGCATATCATAAATTTGTAATCTTACTATTTATTAAAAAAATTACCTATTTTTTATTTGACTTAAATTGTGTGACTTTCATAACAAAACAATTTTGAGATCTATAATTTCTTTAAGAACATTTGATCTGTTTTTAACTTGTTAAACACTTCATAACACATTTCGTCATAAAAAAAAAATTTAAAAACTTAAGTATTTTTTACATATTATCACATTTTAACACATTTTTATTTGCCACAATAAGTAACTTGTCCGAAGAATAAGTATTATCTTTAAAGTAGTTAATTACCTTTCCACTCGATGAAGCAGCCTTTAGAGAAAATTGATGCTTTTTTTAGATACTGAGTGGAATGATGAATGTATTGATTTTACAATGATGTGTGTAATTTTTTTATATTTTTATTTTAGATTCTGAGTGAACCGATGAATGTATTGATTTTACAATAATGTGTGTTTTTTTTTATTTTGTGTCTGTGTACACGATAAGTAGTCGAAATAATGCTTCGATTTTCAACTTCAGTATCTTGTTCGATGGGAAAGTGAATATTGTTGGTATATTCGGTAGATCAAAATTTAAAATTCCCAGTAATTTTCAAAAGTGCCGTGAAAAACAAAAGAAAAATTAAGGAAAAGCGGGAATTTTTATGCAAATTATTTTTCACGAAATCGACTTCAGTTTTTGGTGTAACTTTAAAACAAATGACCGTAGATACATAACATTTTAACTAGTTGTTTATATTTGCATTTTCTATATACCATACAATTTTGAAAAAATGTTAGAGCTTTTTGAGCTGTGTACGGACATTTACAGTTTTCAATTTTTTTAGTTTTTTTTTTTCTATAAATATCAATAAAGTTTTATCTATTTGGCCAAAAAGTGTAAAAATGTAATACAAGGCTCCTGATTTATTGTTACAATAGCAGTTTAAAAATATTAAAATACATAGGCACAATTTTTTTTATAAGCATTTAAAGATCGAATTTTGACAAAATTTATCAAATTTAAAATTGAATAATTATTTTGTAGTTAAAAATTTATAAAGTGTTCAACTTTTATATCTAAAGATTGAAAATTTAAAACAAGAATCCACGTAAGTAGTTTATTTTGTTACCAAAAAATCTAAAAAATACAAAAGGACAGTTTATTTTTATAGTCATTTTAAGTTCAAATATGGATGAAATTACATAATAAAAAACGTAGAATAACTATTTTAGTTATTTTGTTGTGATTGTAAAATATTATTCGTGGGTACTTGAAACTTCTAAAGTACACTATTATATATCTATGATAGTATCAGGGTTTGTTGTTGATGTATAACGCGTTATAAGTACATAATGGATATTGTGATATGATTAATTTGGAATTTATTATATGTACCTATTATAGGTCAATTTTTTTTTAATACCATGGATAAGTATATAATATGTCTTATACCTGGACTCGTTTTTCTTATACAATCAGGGGCGTATTTATGGGGGTGGCTGAGGGGGCTTCAGCCCCCCCCCCCGAAATCTAGGAATTGTTTATTAAGTCTACTTATTATGTTCTACTAGATGTAAAATCGTAAAAGTTCAATATAATTTTATAAAGAATTATTATTAACAACGAAAAACATTCTCCATAAGAGAAAACGTTGATTTAAAATTTAACAATATTTATAAAGAAGCCAAAGATGTTGCTGAAAAGTTAAATATTGAGCCAAAAATGCCTCGTATTTGTAGCAGTCAAAGAAATAGAAGCAATGTACCATCTAACAACATTGAAGAATATTACAAAAAATCTATTTTACCGTACTTGGACGATTTGATGATGGCATTAAATGAAAGATTTATACCTCACAATGAAACTATAACTTCATTACAATATGTCTTACCAAGTATTGTAGTTGAAAAACCATTTTCTTATTTAAAAAAAGCTGTTGAATTTTATGAAAATGATTTACCGGGACTAAATGACGTTATAGAAGCAGAGTTCGAAATTTGGCAAGCTAAGTGACCCACTTGTAACCTACTGTACAGCAGAGCACCTTTTTTTGTTGTTAAATGTGTATTAATATTACTGCGACCGCTATTCGATATACCAACTTCACATTTACATATTTCACGATAAACAATGCTAGTTGAATTTTAAGTTGACTTCAGAAACGGAAATTCTTTTTGTAGATCACTATTAAAATTACACTTCTTACGAGGCAGAGCCATTTCGGAAAAATAATTTTACTGTATTATAATTTTTCATTTGATTAATTGCAATCATTAAAAGCAGTAAGCATTACCGTAAATCAAGATAACAAGGAGGGCTTCCAGCCATAGATAATAATATATAATAACATCATGTCACAGCGTTGTTATTTCAGTGCCTTCACTCTGGCAATCAAGAATTTTTGTAAAACATTGATAAGGATGCATTTTATTTTTTCTATACAAATTAAAGGTGTCAAAAATGTTATGAATTTAATAATCAGGTTATTTTAAAACAAATTTCCATTTTGAATTGTTACATCATTTAAAATGAGTACTTTTGGGTGTACTTCAGCAATTTATTTAGGACAATAGGACATGTCTTCAAAAATAAATATTGTCACCATATCTATAGTGTAGGTAGTTACATGAAAGATATCTTCATGATTATAATCGTACAAAATAAACCCATACCTAGTAATAATAATAATAATTAACATCGTGTTTAAGAATTATAATTATAATTCTCAGTCAATTCGAAACATACATATATTTTAATGTACAAATGTCGTAAAACTAGTTAAGTTACAGATAAAAAATAAAAATAAATATATTTGAGGATTAGATATGAGAGTATGGAATTGTAGACGGACATTAATTTTGTCATAGTTGGAAACCGTCAAACAAAATAAAATTAAGAGAAGATTGATTACGTACTATCTATAAAAATGAATTACTATCAAATAAATATATATTTTTCAAGACCGCAAAATGTACAAACAAATATTAAGATGATTAAGCACATGCCAGACACATTAACCCAAAATAACTTATAATATAATAGTAATAATAGTTATGTAGGTGTGTACTCTAATGAAAACAGCATTTACCTATAAGAAAATTTGAATAATATTTATGTTGTTAAATGAGCTCAGATTTAGATTTGATATTATTAAAATATTACTTACCTATGTATTATTATTATTTACATTTTCGTCATAACTTTGTTTTATTATATGTTTAATAAAAAAATTAAAAAAATTGACTAGTTTTGCATAACCAACTATTAAATAATAAGACAATTTAATTTGGTGAATAGTGAATTTTCACCGGATTAATATTGCTGAAGATTTGTATATCAACTGCGATACTATAGTTTTACGCATCCCAGGAGTCTTGTCCTTATCGTTATAAACTGTGTCTTTATTTTTCTGAATGTTTTGTTTTGTTTTATTCTTCCATTCGACTATCTACCTACATGGATTTATTTTTATTGCGGCCTTGTTAAGGGTTCGATCCACTAGCAATCTTGTTCGGTCTAAAAGTCACAAGTAATGTATAGTTTTCGTTTCGTTATCTATGTAGGAATAGAACTTATCTGGACGAATAACAATACACACGAATGAATAAAATGTAAAAATTTAGTGTTTTTTTTTTTCCAAGACCTATATAATATACGAGTTATATATTATATATATGATGTGACAAAAACTTTCACTATCTTATGATTTTATCTGTTTATTATTTGTGTTATTTATGTTTATTATTTTATTGGTTGACCAATTAAATGTTTAAATAAGTGTATTTGAACATAGTACTATGCCGAAATGATTTCAAACTAAAATAATATATAAAAAACACTCTGGGTTGTGGGTAGTATCACTGGATAGTCTCCCTCCTCATATTATTCGTTAGTACTGTTGTACCTATTAGATAAATATCATATTTGATTTTTGTGGAAATCTAGCACAGATAGTACAGTTAATATTGTTTAAAAATTTAAAAAAAATGGTACCATTCATGATTGTTATAAAACTTGATGTATTTTATCCTTATAAAATAAAATGTAAATGTGTTACTAAAACATTGTTAATGTTAGTTAGGTACACCTAACCGATTACGTATTTAGGTTTTATCCATTATTAATCAGTTAGAAACGTTTCATAAATAGTTTGTTCAATTTTCTTTTGTATCATAACTCAAGGACAACAGCAAAAAAAAATAATAAATACTCATAATATGCTTTTAAGTTATATTATAAAGGAGTGTAACGGGCTGTGACTTTTAAATGCTGCAGGGCGGCGCGCATCGAAGGAAATAGTTATAATATCTAATCATTAAAAGCGAGCCCGTAATACCGGCTGTAGAGTGTAGATACATGTTTTAATATCAAAGGTACCACGCGAGGCGTGATAAGAACACGTGATAAGTATGTGCATTTTTAATAATCGATATTCTAGGAAACACGAATAACATAATTGATGACTTTGGAAAAATATAATACACAAATAACATAATTAAGTAAAAGACGTCAGAAATGACCTCAGGCGGATGCGGCGCGTGTACCATTTTTATACTAAAAATGCCATAGGAGGGATCTATTAGGAATACCAACGAAATAAGTCGATGGACAAGTGTCCATCAGACGAGTAGCCAGCTTCAACTCGAGCAGACACTAGAATACTATACAGAGTCACATCTCGTTTACCACTGTCAAAATCAAATCATATATATATATAACTTACAATAATTTACTAAGTTGAATAAATATTAAAAATTATACTCTATCAACTTCGTGGTTTTCATTCAAAATACCTCTACACAACAACGGAAGTAGTTGGCACGTTACAGTAGGTATTATCTATAAGTTTATAGTTTTGAATGATAATGTATGAGCATTACAGAAGAATAATATACTACCTAAATTAATATTGTAGGTACATTATACAATGTTAAATGATTATATGTATCCATCCGTAGTCGCATAAAAGACAAAAATTCCATGTTTGGGTTAGGTTGGAATGTTGGATTCTACTTAAATAAGATACAATTATACACATTGTGGTTGAAATATAATACCTATTTACTGTAATGAATAATTATTTGTACATGATTGGTGAATGCACTGTTATTAATATGTAGGTAGCTTTTATAAAAAAAAACCTTAAATGGTAAATATTTTTAAAACAGTCGGTAATTATAATTTTTTTAAATTTTTATATTATTTTTAATATAAACGTTTGGTAACCATGATTACCAATGAATTATTATTATTATCGTCTGCGCTTAGAATCGTTTTTCATCGTAGACAATGATCTATCATTGAAATACCATTGAAGTGACCTATACTTGATGAGTAGGACATTAAAAACCTACAACTGCACAGAAGAGGGGTTTCATACTTGACGGTTTTTTATCAATGTGTCTACCTAATAAACATTTTTCAATTATTTTCTTTCTACAAATATCAAATTTAATTAAATCGTGTGCAGGAAATAACAATTTAGTTTAAACTTTAAAATCTATCTAAAATAACACTGGAATCACATAATATGATATGACTTACGGTGTATGTTTTACACATTAGACTTTTCCATGGTTTCCCTTGTATAGCTAAATGCAAAAGCAGTAAATTGTTTGTAACACCAACGCATCACTGCTTAATTAGAATATTCATAAATTATCTTTTTAAAAACACTAAAAATACAGTTTGATATGACGTATGTGCTTACAAAAATAAAGTGGCTTTAAACTGAAATCGGTTAAATGTATATTATTTAGTTGTATAAGAATAATCAAAATATCAAACTTAGTTGAGATTTCTGAGTAAATTGTGTATTTTTGCATAAAAAAACTTTTCAAAAACAATGTTCAAATAATGTGTTGAAATATTAATTTACCAGTTTAATATTTTATTTTAAAACTAAAAAACACGTGGGTGTTTAGTTATTCAATGCTAATAGTTAAAGTATTAAATATAATTTGACAGAAACAGATTAATCAAATAATTATATTCAGAAGAATATTTTAATCCATGTTTTATTTTGTTTAATGACATTGTTATAGTTTATAATTAAGAAAATAGTTACTATAACATATATAACTGAATTAGGTACCTATCTACGTTAACCATTACATTTGGTTAGAAGCTAGTAAAAATAGTTCAGTTAAATACATATTTAAATAGGTATCAACTATAATTTTCTCAATTACAATTCAGTTTTTTTTTTTTTTTTTTTTTAATTAAGTTTTGGAATTCTTATTAGCTTTTTAATATTAAAAGTAATATTATGAAATATTTGTATGTATGCATTATGCATATTATAATAAATTAAAACAAATTTAAAAATAATTGTTCTTTTTTAATTTGACACCGGTTTTATATCGAAGTGTTTTAATTAGGCATTTAATTTTCAGAAAAAGTAGTTAAGTACCTATATTGATGAAGAAACTATCTTTTACAATTTTTTTTTCCGTTTAAAAAATTTAAGAGACTCCTTTATTATATCGATGATTAATATTGACCCATGTAAAAAATATATTTATCCTTTGAAGTTTTATAAGTTTTTTTAAAAACTTTTTTTTGTCCTACAAAATGGCTTTTTTGCAGTACTTTTCGTATTTTTATTAATTTGGAAGTTATGAAAATTATAACCATATTCATCAAAGGATCTTAAAATTTAATTTAGTCATCTTAACTCAATTACTCATCCATCTTTCTTCGAATCACCTTAATTAAAACTACATTTTTAATTAAAAATCCGAACTTATAATATATTAGTAGGTAACGTATCATATTATATTTATTTTTATTAGCATTTAAATAAAATTGAATGCTATATTGTTTTTTAAATTGATTTATTTACAAGCTATTTTATGACACTCATTCACATAATATATTATTGAATAGACGATCTAAATTCTTAAATGCTAACACTTTTTAATTAGGTACTTATGTTGTTTCCTTATTAATTGAAGCAAATCGTCCAAAGTTAGAATTTAAAATATTCCTTTTTAAAAATTTAATTTAATAAAATATTTGAAGGATAACTTTGTCTTTTAACTAAAATTCAAATCCGTACTTAACAATAATACACAAATTTAAGACCAAGCCACTCGTAGAAGTACTTTTATTCCTAAAACCATTAATATAATAAAAAATAAAAATAAAAAATAGGTGTCCAAAATTGTATGTCATAAGTGCACCAGACTATACTACTATAGTTGTATTAATATTAAAACATTTTTTTATACTATTGTAGAATTATGTTAGTAAGAATAAACTAAAAAAGAATTTTTCTACTCTGAAAAAGGTACGTAATGTGCATACGCTTTTTACTACATTTTACTTGACAGGTATAGGTTATAATCTTATAATATATAAAATCATAATTATCATAATTACTATTGTTGTTACTTTAATTATTATCATTAAATGATAAATTTTATCATATTATCCAAGGTGATAATTCATAAAAATTATAAATAATTCTTGTAATATAAATAGAATAACAAAATAGAAGCCACTTTGATGAATTATTACAATGTCGATATTTACCACCTACGTTAATGAAAATTTAAAAATATATTTATAAAATATTGTTAAGACAATTGAATGTGTTTTATAAATAGCGTAATCAAGGCCTTAGATGTCCGACGATGTAATTGTACAGTCAAATAGTAGTGTAAAAGGTAAATATAAATGACCGCCCTTTTAACCCTCTTGACAAAAGTTTCAAGATGTTTGTCAACATACCAACCTTGCTGGCAGCACGTAATAGTACACGGTTAGAATGTTTTACTTAACGGCCATTCCAACCGAACAGTAGTAGAATTACGAGTATTTGAAACACGGTTACTCCATAATACTTATTTACTAAATACCCGGAATTAAAATATTTAAAAGCTGTTTTAAGTCTTATATACGAGTATATAAAAAAAAAAATGTATAAGTAAAACGTATATTCTTTTATAAAAACTAACTTCTTGAGCTAATATCCAAAAAGCTTTTATTTTAACCCATACCTACCTATAAGTGTTAAATCCCATACCTACCCACAAGTGTTAAATCCCGAATAAAAAAAATACAAAAAATAATGTTATTTTTATGTCATCCTCCTCCACACGTACATAACTCTATTTTAATTGTAGTCTGTCATAATATATTAAGATCCAACAAAGTGAATAAATATATATACTACTGAAACATTTTTTAGATAGATAGTTTGCAAATAAGTAGGAACAGGTACATAATGTTTATTTCGTATATACAACTTTCAATATTATTATTATTTTAACAAAAATCAAATTAATTTATTTTAATCGTATTTGTTTGTACATCAGATAACTAAATACAAGTTTAGATACCTACATTATGAACGGTTCGTGTTATACTGATATTGTTATAACACCTGTGTAATTTAATTTGTATATTATAATAATATATAGGTAACTGAAAAGTTCAAAATAAACTAATTATAGGGGATAAAAACGTATACACTAATTGAGGTTGATAATAATAATTACAGCCAATTGCCAACATAATAGATACATAACATTATTGTAAATATTTTTTCTTAATGTTCAAAATATTGTAACTAGTAATATTATATAAATTACGATGGCATTCTTAATTTAAATCTACTGCTCCACATGAAAATAAAAATTGAACTTCCGAAGTAAAACGCTTTCCTCCAAAGTGCATTGATTGCCAGGCTTATTATCTCACCAAGAGGCAAGAATTACTGTCGTCATTCCCCGCGTTGGGTTAAATGCGGGGAAGGTCATTTCTCAAGCGATTGCACGAAACAGCCATCGGATCCCACCGCAAGTGCGCTGTATATTTGCGGAGCCGTATGCAGCCTCGTGTAATGGATGCCTTTTATTTTTACAAAAGTCTCATCTCAACTCTCAAAAGACACGAAGCGATCAAATACAACATTCATTCGACCCGTAAGTTCTCAGTAATGCCACAAAATGACTCCGCTCCAAGCACTAATCAAAAATATAAACAATCATACGCCGATATCACAGCATTACAATGCATCACCCATCTCAGTTTAACCTGAAAATACAATCTCTGAAGTTCTCAATAAACTAGGTTAGGTGAAGTCGTTAGATTCATTATTAGTCTACTCCTAGTAAGAGGACGCGCCACATCCGCGTGTGTTGTCTCCGTCTTAAAAGTGCGTAACATAGCAAATTTACAGCAGATTACGTTAAGCCCCCTTAGTTTAAAAATTAAATCTATTATATGAAACTTAATGGTATGAACACTATCTGATTTTTCCGATTATTCAGTTTTTAACTAAGTTATGAGCATTTTTAATTTAGATTTTAGAGATTTAGGAAATTTAATTTTTAATATATCAAGTTCCATAATAGGACGAATCACTAAAATTTAAAATCAACGGAGCCAAACTGATCTGCTGAGTGTAAATTTTGGATGTTACCCACTTGTAAGATGGGGACAACACATGAGGGTGTTACGTCCTCTTAACTACGTTATTAAATAATCTTCCACTGTATACTATTTCCATCTCATAATAATAACACCTTTTATCATTTTATTAATTTTTTATCATTATAAGGAATCTACAACTTTTCACTTATTAAAATGTACTAAAATAATATTTCTTGTACACTTACTATAACCTCGTGTATTATTTTTTATTTGTATAGATAATTGTCGAATATAGGTACATAAAATGTGTAAGCCGGTTTCTCGATAAATTGAAATAAAAATAATATTTTAACTGTGAGACTTATAAAAATTTCATAATAAAAGATAATAATCTTGTATGGTCAGTAAAATATCACACAGCCAAAATAACAAAATTGAAAACCTCTCATTATAGTCGTATTAGTTTTTATATTATTTTTTTCTAGCCAATGCTTGTCAGTTCGGCCGAGCTCGCCTGGTTACAAAATGGCCCATATAATGCCGCTGCAGTAAGTGTCGACCGTTAAAGTGAACTTTTAATGTTTTTTCGGTTTTTTTTTTACGGTTTGGTTCTTTTTCGATCGTAACTCCGCCATCGCATCGTCGGCTCATAGGCGTGAGGGCGGCGGCGTGAAGAGACACGTTGAAAATGGTTTTGTTTTTACCAATTCTTACAGTCGTAGGTCAAAAACAATTATGCGTGTGCGGAAGATAAAATGCTAATATTTTAACGACTTGAGCTACACTACCTATAATAGGCCGGTTATTGCCTGCGTCTACGACCGCACTCTGAAATTGCCATTTTTATGCGCTTCTGTCACCATATATTAACCTATACGTGCATGAGATACTTAATGCATACTCCATACATACACACTGACACACAGTCAACAGGCGTATACACACACAAACATTTGTATCGAGCATTTAATAAAAATAAAAAAAAATAACACTTTTTTATGCTTTAATCTCTTCGTCGAGAGCTTGATTGGTACAAATCGTCTGGTATCCAAATAGTGCAGACTAAAAAAAATACATAATTTTCTTGCTTAATATATATACTGTAATGAACGTTTTACTTCTTTGAAATATTATTATTATCATTATGATTATTGATTATGTTAATAATCAAATATAACAAAAACCCAGACAATTGGTTTTTGAATAACTCAATAAATATTTTTGAATTAATTAAATTGTACGTACTTGGTACTTACTCACAGAAAAAAACTATAATACTGATTGATTTTTATTCACAATATGAATAACTGAATTCATATTTATTTTTTAACTAAAAAACGTACCTATATGCAATTTAGTACACTTTATTATTAATATAACGATAACTATTATAATATATAATGACATTTTAAGCTGAAACAAAACGAACTTTAGCGATTTGGTGTGGCGAGGCGGTTGTATCAGTCACAAAACGTGTTCTGAGTGCAAGAGCCGGTTGGTGCCACTAGTTCCTGGATGGGTGACCAGACGGTTTTTAGTGACAAATCCTTGCCACACATGCACACACGTATTCCAATCCGACCATACTCGTCCCTTCACTACAAACGATGGCCATAGTTATTATATGGCTTAAGATCGGAAGACTAAGCTTAAAAACCAATTTTCTAATTGTTTCTTTTTAGATTACTTTTAGTTGCCTATAATATTGGTTAATACAAAAAACATACAGTACCACATTACATCCCATACATTTTAAATAAATAGTAAAATTTAAATTGAACGATTACTTTGAATAATTAACTTTTTTTCTACAAAAACCTTTGAAATAATATAGTTTACAGTGTAACTAGAACAATCAGACATGAATATTTATCTAGGTAATCTATATTTATTATTTACTCAAACTAAATTTAATTTAAAATGTTCAAATTTATCTCTATTAATGCAATACTACACAAAGGTTTTTTTTAACCAGCTGAAGGAAAAAAATTTGTCTCGAAATGTGTTGGTATTTAAACTTAAGTTATCCTCAAGCGTTAATAATATATTTGAATATCTAATTAATTCTAAACCAGGAATTCTGTGTATGGTAGAGTAATGTAATTGTATTATAATTTCTATGTGTAAAAAACTGTTTATCAAAAATAATTTATTACATTTACTACATTACATTTTTACACTTACTCAGATTTTAATCGTACACATTTATAATAATGAAATTATGCACATTTAAATATACGCATTTTTATTCAACCAACACTTAATGGTGACCGTTACACACAATACTCTTAACATCAATCGCATAAAACTGATTTATGTCAAACAATAAGTAATTAATATTATGTTCATTTACGACATTTTATGGCATTTTTAGTTAACAAAAACTAAAAAGCCACCACCTACCTATAATATAGTTAATATAAATAATATAATATATTGAGGTACCTATACTATAGTGTATTCGAGTGAATCCTATTTCAGCATATTTTTGGTTGACATGAAGGGATTACACTTATTCCAGAAAAAAAATTCTTAAAAAACTGTTATAAGTTATAATAATATAGGTAATGTATTAAATTATACCTAATTGTTATTCTATTTTAAAATAGTTTTAATTTATATCGACAATTTACAATTTACATATTTCAGTTAATCTTTTATTATTATACTACTATACTTTAATAATTATAGTTTCATTTTAACTATTTAGTATCATATATATTATGTCATAAATATGTACAATTTTTCAAATTAAAATGTTGCCGTGACATAATTATGTTATATGACACAATAATATTAAAAATACAACTTATGAATCATAGTTTTAGTTAAAGTTAGATTTTCATCATTTGATCTCGAAACTTCATAATAGAAATCTAAAAAATGATCCAATCCTACAATGATTTAATGAATTTTTATAAAATAATAATTTAGTTATAAAGCTAGTAGGTATATGAGAAAAGTATAATGTGTTACCTACAAAAATGTACAAAGTATTTTCTGAACATATTTTTTTTGTTTAATTAATAGAATAATACGATATTCATTTTTAACTAGTACCTATGAACTTTTTTTTATAAATTAAAAGAATTTTAGAATTATTTTTAAGAAATCAAATTTAAAATTAATTAATTTTACAAAACATGGATTTACACAAAACTATTTCATTTTCAAATAGGTTATATTATATTGTACATTTTTAATTTAATAGATCTATGTTATAGACTTACAGTTATGTTTGAGCCTATAGTACATACAATTAAATAGGTGCAAACAATTTCATATATTTGCTAGTAAAATATAGTGTTTAAAAAATAAAAGTCATTTCAAAAAGATTTATATTAACTAAATATATTTTTTATTTATATTTATACAGGGTGTATCTTATGTCATTGTACCCGGGGTTTTTTGACGATTACGGAACGATGATATGGAATTTCGTTAAAACGAAAAAAGACGTGTTTCTTTATTTTTAACAAGCAATTTTTTTATAACAATTTCAAAAATTTTAAACACGTAGGTGTACCAATAGCAAAATCAACTTTTTTTTTCAAATGGTAACCACTATATTTTTTAATGGATTATGTTTGTTATTTTTTTTTTTTTTTGAGGTTGTCATTAGATTACCGATTCAACAATTGTAGTGTATCAAATGGTAGTTATAAGAAAAAATTGTTTAGCGCTTGTAAATTTAACCTATACCCATTATTTTAATTAAAAGTATTAATGCATATTTTACTAATCTTTGGAGGGCCATAGTTAATAAACTAGCCAACCAAAACTGACGATTCAACTACCAAAATGTTCAAAAAAAAAAAGCTTTACCAGAATCCATTAAAAAATATAGTGGTTACCATTTGAAAAAAAAAAGTTGATTTTGCTATTGGTACACCTGCGTGTTTAAAAATTTTGAAATTGTTATAAAAAAATTGCTTGTTAAAAATAAAGAAACACGTCTTTTTTCGTTTTAACGAAATTCCATATCATCGTTCCGTAATCGTCAAAAAACCCCGCGTACAACGACATAAGATGCACCCTGTATATTACTTAAGGTACAACACCATGCAACTAATCTGACAATATCTAATAATCGAATGATTATTTAATAGTTTTAAATCATATAAAGGATTGAAGAATAAATCCTGGAAAATGGCTTAAGTTTTAAAAAAAAAACCAACATTGTTTGGTTTTAACTATGAATCAACTGTACGAATTTTAAGCAAGTACCTATAAATAAAGCAACTTATTATCCTTGAGATGAAATTTGTTTTAACTTATTGTAATATTCTACTTAAAGAAGAGTTTTATTTAAATATTTAAAATTATATTACCATGACAAAATTAAAGCCTCTCAAAATATATTGTAGAAAAATATGCCTAATAATGTGATTTAGATTATATACCTACTTAATTAATTTGTAAATGTATAATGTTGTATATTATTCTTACAACTAAATTTTTTTTTTTTTTTTATTAATTTTATCCCGCGGCAACTTAGGCCATTGGGAGAGGGGTTGGTACTGTAGGTTATTTAACGGTAGGGGGTATTACACGTGGGTGTATTTTGGCAGAATTTTGAATGGGGCACCCGTAGGTTTCTGCCATGCCCCGGAGTGGGGGATGGCGGCACTTGTTTTTCGGACACCGTGACTTGCCCGGAGAAAA